GTTAATTAAGTTAATTATATAATATTTAATTACTAATTATTCAAATAAGATAAATTAGATAATTATTTTATATAATTATTATATTAATTTACTTAATTATTAATATTTTAAATTATATTAATTAAGTTAATCAATAATAACTTAGAGGCGTCTAGGTTTGCCTTCATCTTCTCTTTTCGTGGTTGCTGTTCGGCTTCGTTGCTGCGCAGGAGGTGTAGAGATTGCACGCGTCGCTTCGTCGGCTCCTTCGTGGCTGTTCAACTTCGCTCCTTCGACGACTTTCTCTTCCTGTCGGATCGGAAGTTACGACATTTTGATCGGAAGCAAAAAACGGGAGCTCGCTGGCTGTGAAGGTAAGTAACTTTCTACCTTTCGCGCGCTTCTTCGGCCAAATCCCATAAATCCGCCGAACGAGGGATCTAGAAAATCCTGGATTTAAGCCGTAAATCTTTACATCCGGGATTTACTCATCGCCGGGATTTAACGCGCGCACAAAAACCGTTTGGCTGGATTTAGCGTAATCCGACTTAAATCCCGCTGTAAATCCGATACCAAACAGCCCTTGAAAATTCGGGGTTTTTGTAAATTGAAGACCAAAAATAACCAATTAATGAGCCGGGGATTTACTTTCTTTGAACACATGGCTAATTCTAACTCTAGCTTTAGAAAGGAAGGAGTGAATTTCCTTAAAGAGTTGAAATTGCTTGACCATCTTAGAGATTGCTTGTAGAAGAGTTATTGATCCCTCTACAATCCAAAATTTGGAGAAACACCTGGAAACAAACATTTCAAAGCTAAACAATAGAAAAGCTGTCTGAGAATGAGCAACATAGTATTATGATGGAGACATAGTATTCTTGAATTTACGGATCCCTATACTAGACCATGTAACACCATTGTTTATGTATTTTATGCAAATCTAAAGTGTCAATCTTCCTGAAAGAACAATTGCACTCTGATATTTGTTACCTATTGATATTTGATCGATTTTTTTGGCTTCACTATATCTTATTTCATGGTCAACATTTGCAATGTAAATATCACATTGTCCTATTGAATTAGTGTAATGAATGTTTTGTCTCTCGGATGCTTGTTGCAGAAGAAGTTTATTCAGATCAGTGGTCACAAGGGTGTCTGGACGCAAACTCAATTGGTATTTTTATGTCATCTTCTTTAGGAAAAGATGCTTGACACAATCTATATCACAAATTACTCCCTTCACCTGAACATGCATTACAAATCTTCCGAATCATTTCATCATGTTCGAGCAATCTGTGAATTTTTTGTGCTGAAGTTCAATATTGCTATTTGTAAAGAGAAACTGGTCCCTTTCTCTATGTTTTTTCAATGCAAGCCCTCAGTTTTGATGGAGAACCCGTGCTAGATGCCATTGAAGTTCATTATAGTCCACCATTTAGGCATACTAGTCTTTGGATTGCATTGCATTGATCAAGCTCTGATATTGAGGTTCTAGCTGCCACCTTGGCGTAAGAGAACGCTGAAATGAAGAAATATATAGGAATTTTGTAGAAGTTAGATATCTTCAACATGCTTTTGGGTGTCGCACTTCTACCTTGACCTCCCTTTGCACTCCTTAATTGCCCCTTGATGATGATCCTAGCCCTATTCCAATAATTAGATGATGTTTATTGCTATTATTTGGTCTTTTGTTAAGAGTTTCACTAAGCAGAAAGTCAGAAACATGATCCTTATTCTATATATATTTCTCATGCTTTTCTTAATTGAGATGTGATCGAACCATCCATCATTTAATTCATTTAATTGTATTAATGAAATATTCTATCTGGTTTAGTTATTTCATGCTATGGTTGTGCCGATGATTGTTCTTTAATTGATTCTATGTTTATTTAGCTTCATTTTGACTTTTACATGTACATTTGATGACATTGTTTTGAGTAGAATGATATGTTTAAATGCTATTTATGATTATCTTTATGCTTAAAGGGCACCATGATCATGATCTTATCTTACAATACTTGATACATCATTAGAAAATCCACTTGATCAAGTACGAATCTTGATGCTTATTTGAATATAACATTTAGAATTAAATTCAGGACTATTTGAAGTCTGATTTCAACAAACTTATAGTTAAATTTAACGTCTTTGAATCTACTCCAAACAAGCCATGTTAAGCAATTGAAGCATAGTTGAAAATTTCATTATAGTAATTGAAGAACTAAACTAACTATTCTTTCATTTATATTGTCAATTTGAGTGACTTAATGAGAAGAATCTAACAAGCACAATATCGTTCAATTTCGAGATCATTAATGTACTTAAATGCTTAAAGAATGACATATGATCAAGGGAATCAATATGAACTGTTTAATTGAGCGTCTTGGGATGTTGGACAAAATAACCAAAATGCTACTCTCCAAAATCATACATAGCACCTTTTGTTCACTCACATAAATGATGGAGGGCGCCTTGACTTGAGAGTGGAGAGAGCTCAAAGATTTGTAGAATCCAAAAGCTCTACTTGGCCAATGTTGTTTGATCGTCGCCGACTGACTGCAATCATCGAACAGAATTTACCATCACAATTGAATTGTTGCCGCACAACCACTGCCATCAGACTACTACCATATGACAATCGTTGTAGGACAACCACTGCTCAACGTCGTTGTAATGCTGCTGCTCGACCATCATCATTGGAAAATGATCAATCAACCACCGTTGATACTACTGTTGCTCGACTATGGTCTCTCTCAACCATAGTCGCCCGACTGCAATCTTCTGACCAATTTTGGTTTCCCAACCATTGTTACCAATTAAGATCTCTACCATCTCCTAACCATTACCGCATGACAACAATCTTCTGACCATGTCATCCAACTATAGCCTCTTGACCAATGTTGCCCGATTACGTTCTCCCTATGACCTTCACCCTCAAGATCGACTACGATTTCTCAATCACCATTACCCAACTATTCTTTATGCCTAGAAGACCCACCATGAAGCTTCCACCATTGCCTAAATAAGTTGCAAATTCACAAACAATAGGTTCTACTCTCATTGCTCTCTCGCAAGCCTTAGGATCTATCTCACCACCAATCCACGGTTTTGAGTTCATGTAGCTTGTATTTGACATGATTTGAGTACTTAATAGAAGAAAAATGAAGTAGTATGATGCAATTCCACACATGATAATTTTCTCTCTTGTCAGATTTTCATTAATTTTATAATAAAAAAATGCATTAATTTTATAAATAAGAAATATTTCAATATCATATTATAATGTATTTTACTTTATTCTTACAAAAAAATCTCTATCATTGATCTCACAAATCATAATTCTTTTCAGTGAGCATGGGAAATAAGTCTGCAAAACAAAAGAACAAGAAGCAAAGTGATGAGATCCTGGTGAAGGTTGTACCTCCTCTGGACCGGACTTACATGAGATGGCTTGCTCGAGACATTGCGAGATTACATGGCTTCTCTCCAAAGAATCCTCAAGCTATAGAGCCTCCATCAAATGTAATCGAATATATGCGCTTGTATGGCTGGTTAGATCTGGACATGAATGATCCTGATCTCGCTCCTTTGTTCAAGTAGAGAGTTCTTTGCCTGCTCGAATCAAAGAGGGCCGCAGGTGTGTTTTATCCTTTTAAATTTGAGAAAAATCTTATGTTATTATGTTTGATATAATTATTTATATTATAACAAAATTTGTTTTTATCTATGTTATTTTTGATGTGTTTGGGACTGTTACAGCGTTATGTAAAAGTGATTATGAAGTTGTTGTAGAAAAATCAGCTTTTTAGAAAACTATTGTGAATATTATAGTGTATTTTTTTCCTATAGCTACCACATATTGGTAAATTTGGTTGTAAAAAGTGACTTCTCATGGAACTTTTATTTGGTCCGGTGAACGTACGTAGAGCTACGTTCGGCCGGCACTGAGATCGCGCCACGTAGCAGGCACAAAACGAGAAATACCGAGCAATACCAACAATAACAATAAATATAATTATGTGAAGACAAAATACCGACTAAACTCGGTATTTTTTGGTGTTGCTCGGTATTACTCGGTATTGGTCTTCACAGAGCGGTATTTCTCGTTATTGCCAAGCAACACCTAGCAATACCGAACAAATACCGAGCAAAAACCGAATAACTCAGTGATGACCGAATGTAGAGCTACGTCCGGTCAGAGGACCTAATAAAAGTTCCTTCTCATGGCAATTTTCTGGAAGCAATTAAGATAGAATTTTAAAGTATAATTATTAATACATGATCTTGCTTTTATTCAGCATGATATATATTTTTAATAATTGGTGTGGTATATTGTTTGATGCATTTGATTGATGATTTAGCAATTTTAAATTTTTGTAAAATTTATTTGCCACTAATTTTTAGTAATGTTGAAGATAATGAATAAATTAGATCTTATATTTAAAGGTCATGACATGAAAATTAAATTCATGATAGAGTTTTATTTCAGTGTATAGGAAGAGATAGGAATTTGTTTTTCTACTTAAGGAGAATTAACCTTCTCTCTCTAATTAAAATATAATATTATATATTTATGAATATTTTCATTGGTGTTTCACAAGTAGCTATTAGGTCTTGACAAGAAAATTCACCCTCAAGGAGGGTTCCTTTGGGAAACTTGTTTGGGATCTATGTAGGGACTCGCTCAAGGGGATTGACGGGTTCAACTCACTTGTAGCATTTCACTCGTTTTCTTTCTCAAGGCAACCTAAGGTCTTGTCTTTTACAGAAGTCATCAGTTATGTCTGACCACTCACTTGGGCTCGCTCGCAGATTCATCCGTATTCCATTCGCCTCTATTGAGCTTGCCCTCAGGGAGCTCCCTCGTTGACTATAACAACCCAAACTCTGAACTATCGAGAAATTGCCACATTTGGCCTAAAAGCTTCGTAATTTTGTCTTGTTGGTGTAATTTCCCAGTAGGTCACTCATCTCAGAATTTCTTCGGGATGAGCACGCTTAACTGTGGAGTTTCTTAATGAAATTCTAACAATTACGCCAAAAAACGCCTCAATGTTTAAGAGTTTAAATTTTTTTACTTAAAGGGTTTCACATTGACTTCATTCTCCTCGATCTTATTAGGAGGCGGCACATGTTAGATCAATCTATAGCATTGTATGAGTATTTTGTGAGCTTGTATTTCTGCTTTATATAATTTTTCTGGTAGCCTTCAAAATCCTATAAATAAGAAGGTATGAGGAACAATGGGAGGACTTTCGTCTCTCAACTATGAACCTTGGATCATGGACCCTTGGACCATGAATTTTTCACTAATAGTAGATATTATGGCATTTTGAGATCTCTAATTTTTTTTTTCTTCTGTACTCTTCTATTCGTTCTACTTCATCTACACTCTCCATTCTTTCTCATAGATTCTAGCTCACCAGGTTGATATGACAAATTTAGATTCAACAAATATTATGATATTTAAATTCATGATCGACATCTTACATTATTTTTAATGCAATTAAAGCTAATTTTATGCACAATTTCAATATTTTAAATAATATTTTTTTTTTTTTCATGAATCATATGTATTTAAGATGCTAATTACATTATAAAATAATTCTAATGTTGAAGTTTAGACTCTTTCAAATCACTTGAAAATAAATATAAAAATTATCGACAATGCTTTTCATAAAATTCACAATTTTGATTTTAAATTTTAAAATTGGCTTATAAATGATATCTAATCATACTTATCTCAACCATTAAAATAATCATTAAAATTGATGATTTTGATCAATCGCTCTTCCCTCGAAGCATAGTGAAGACTTCTTATTCTCTTTGGATATTAAAGTAGTTTGTCATGCTTGAATGCTCCAATTGAGATTGATCATAGAAGGGAGATTCAATGGAAGTTAAATAATTGCTATAACTAGTGATTTTCAAAACCGTATGGACTTAAACTCCGGCCTGATGTAATAGATTATGATTAAATAATAATAATGATATATCATCAAAAAATTATCTTGATCAGGCGCGTATCTCGAGGCAATTTTGAGTTGGAAACTTTCAAAATTAAATTCGGATCATTCTAATTCTGATTTTAGCAAACTTATAGTCAAACTGAATGTCTTGAAAAAACGAATCTAACGACACTAAATTTGACTCATTATGAGCTCAAATGGGTCGAAATCGAGAACCTGAAGCATATTTAGAAGGTTTAAACTATAAATTGTATGACTAAATTATCACAAAATGTAACACGCTTATAGCGAATTGAGCGGCTCGACGAGAGGAGTCCAACGAGTCCAAGATTGTTGAATTTTGACATCATTAAGAAATTCAAATATTGGATAAAAGGTTCATGATTAAGGAAATTTATATCGGCCGTCCATTGGAAACACGCCAAACTTGCCCTTGAACTATATTTATTGATCATGCTATTCCCAATGTTATAAATATCCCACAATTCTTCACATAAAGGGAGACCAAACAGGGAGGGAGGAAGGGGAGACGAAGAAAGAGAATAAATGAAGAGAAATATGAGATATCTCTTGCCACCTCGACCACCGCCCGACCACTGACTGTTGTCAAACTTCTGACGACTTCCGTCTGGCCACCAATTTTCGTCGGACTTACATACGGCCACCGATTTCCACGAAACTTCTACTAGACCATCGGCCGTCATCGAATTTTAGTCCGACCATAGGCCATCACCGAACTTCTGTCTGGACACCATCATTGCCCGCCGATTGCGATCTTTCCAACCTATATTGTCCGCCGATTACGATCCTTCTAGTCTCTAACACTCAACTATAATGTTTTTGACATATGTTGCTTGCTAACTGCAGTCATTCTGATCACCGTCACTCGACTACTATCTTTTCGACCTTCATCGCTCGACTACTGTCCTTCTGACCACCGTCACTCGGCTATGGTCTTTACGACCACAGTCGCCCGCCGACTACGGTCCTTCCGACATCCGTCACCCGACTACAATATTTACGACCTCTAGTGTCCAATTACGGTCCTTCCAATCACCTTCGCCCGTCTAAGGTGTGAGACCTCGTTCCCTTACAGTTCCTCTCAGATTTGGATTTTTTCCTCTCAGGATCGTCCGGGACGATTTTAGATCGTCCAGGCCGATCGGCACTGTAGAAAATATCGGCCTGAGAATAGTTCTGGGAACCGTCCAGGACGATTTTTCTGGTCTGATCGTCCCGGGACGATTTGGCGATCGGACAGACTCCACAACCAGCGGCAGCTCCGCCAGCGCAGCGATTTCCACCAGGTAGAGCAGGACCTGGTCGTGCTCCTAGACCGGTTATCAGGGAAGTTCTGGGCTCTGAGGAAGAGAATGATTTTCCAAATTTTCATGAACTGACCGATTCTGGGAACGATGAGCAGTTCCAGTACTATGAGCGTCCGAGGCACCGCCGGATGAATCAAACGGGTCAAGGAGAATTTCGTATCAAAATGGATATTCCGTTCTTTGAAGGAAGATTGCACATCGAGGACTACCTCGATTGGGAACGGGCCGTGGATTCATTTTTTGATTATATGGAGATTAGTCCGGAAAAGCAAGTGAAGTACGTAGCATGTCGTCTGAAGGGCGGCGCTAGTGCGTGGTGGTTACAGCTCTTGCAATCGCGTCGCCGGGAAGGAAGAGGACCAATCCGTAGTTGGTTTCGTATGAAACAACTACTCAGAGGATTTTTTCTTCCCACGGACTACGAGCAGATGCTTTACTTGCAATACCAGCATTGCTCACAAGGACAGCGCTCCGTCAGCGAGTACACTGAAGAGTTTTATCGGCTGAGTGCCCGCAATAATCTCCAAGAATCGGAAGTTCAGCTTGTTGCCCGTTACACCGGGGGATTGAAGGAGCCTATACAGGATAAATTAGAGCTTAATTCAGTTTGGACTCTTTCACAAGCTGGGAATTTTGCGTTGAAGGTAGAGACACAGCAAGCTCGCCAATCCCGCAGCTACACCAGCAGGCGATCACATGTTGATTTACCGGGAGACAGCGTGAAGGCAAATTCCGCTGGAACCAGGCCTAACTCATTTGCACGGGCACCTACCAGTCCAAGTCCGAACTCCAACGTGCCTGTTGACGCTAAATTGCAAGGAAAGGCCCCAGTCCCTCCTCGAGAAAATCCATACAGTAGGCCTACTACCCTTAAATGTTTTCGATGTTTCCAGCCCGGACACAAGTCAAATGAGTGTCCGAACCGACAACGAATCCAGGTCCTGGAGGGAGAGTCGCATGGAGCAGAAGGGGAAACTGCTGTTGAGCAGGAATCCGACATTGGCATTGAGGATGTTCACGGAGACGAGGGGGATCCACTACTTTGTGCTTTGCAAAAATTATTAATAGCGCCAAAGAGTTCGAGCCATTCTCAGCGTAATGCCCTCTTTAAAACCAGGTGCACAATTCAAGGCAAGGTGTGTGAACTGTTGATCGACAGCGGGTGCACCGAGAATGTCATTTCTAGGTCGGTGGTACAAGCGCTACAACTCAAGACCACGAGCAACCCGCAGCCATACAAAATAAGCTGGATCAGAAAGGGGATGGAAGTAACCGTCACGGATATGTGTCGCGTTACATTCTCCATCGGGAAACACTACGTGTGCGAAGTCGTATGCGACGTGCTTGACATGGATATTTGTCACCTCATCCTGGGCCGGCCTTGGCAGTATGATATGGATGCTGTTTTTAATTGCAGGCAAAATGTGTACACTCTTGAATGGAAAGGAAAGAAACTGCGATTATGTCCTCAGAATAATTCAGTGCCGGAAAAGAACACAGGGGCTGCATACATTTT